AACAATTAATCAGGCCTTGCCCGGAAAGTCGCTCGATCGAGCGCGCGCGCCTAGAGCGCACCCAAAAGAAGCCTTGGAGAGCGATTTATAGAGCCCCTCAAAACGTAAAAACAAACAATATTACCACGGAACAAAATAATTTCTTGGCTTTTGTCTAATTAACTTGATCAAGCATAAACAATCTTCCCAATAGACCGCAATGTTATGATTTGCGTAAGATTCCCCCTTGAGAAAAAAATTCAGCAAATTCAACGTTGGGTTTTCGATACCATTTTTAATCTAATAACCCTCTCATAACCACCAAGGACACAGGCCATCAAGAGTATTCTCCGTCAGATTTATCTGATTTCCGAGCAAGCGTTAATCTTCTGTTGAAGTATTATTTTCTGTTTTTCTTAATAACTTAGAATCACCTTTGCAAATCAGAGATCACATTTCCATCCAAATTACCGCATTGCTTTTCAGTTTTCATTTGCTTTCGCGAGTAGTAGATGTTCTAGTGTCTCTTATAGAATGGATAGCATAAAAAGGGAAACAAAGCTAATGTTCGACTTAAAGCCATGCGTTTTCCTATATTTCTATATTTGTATTAACATAGTGTTTGCTGCATGTTTTGTTATTTCATATTATGGTGCTTTTTGGTATCACCATTGAATTTCTTATTTAAAACTCTTCCAAAGCTTTCGATAGGAAGTTCTCGATCTTCCAAGGCTCTTGAAGGATGCTCTCAAGGATATTTTTCTTAAAGGTGCGAAATAGAGCGCCTAGAGTTTCTAAGGGGCTCTTTTTATGGAGCACCTTCATTTTGCTTAGAGCAAGGCCTGCAATATTGTTTAATATTCCATTATTGAACAGAAAAATATTCTTTTTCCTGAACAACTGAAGTCTTAATAGCTACAAAGAAAATATCTTCCTTCTTTTCATAATATATAATATCAGTATCTGTTGAATGTCTGATAAAAAAATCTGACAGAGCAACAGGGGCTTGATACAATGTGGATGCTAGGAAACAAAACTTCTTTTTATGCCAATCAGAATACAGATAATCATTTCAACCTTACAAGAAACTTTACAATCAAGGCAACTTTACAAGAAAACATCTTAGAAAAAAGGTGATCAGTGCAAATTGGAAAGTAACCAATCCAAGTAAATTATCAATAAAATTTTACAAATTTATTGATATAATACTTAGGTTTTAGTTGTAGATATTGTGCCTGGTTATAGACACAAAACATTTGTCCAAGATAAAAACTTCTTCAACAGATACAGGATCAACGATATAATAACAATGGATACATCTGCTGATCTTGAAAAAGCAGAATGGAATGAAATAAGCAGATGCTGTGAAGACAAAAGGAGTTTGTTTTCTCACTTCCACTTCAGTGCTGGTTTTTCTATAGGCCCACTGTACCAGCAACTATACTGGTCATGAGCTTGCATTTTTCAGATTGGCCTAATTTGATCTACAACTGGGTATATACTTTGCATTTTTTTCTTTCAGCATATGATGTGATTAATGCACACTTAGGATTGCCTTTTTAGGATTTACATGAAATGCACCCTGGAATAAAAGCCACTTATTGCAGAGAACGAATATACCATTTGCCTTTATCAAAGAAGAATTTCATAACATGTTGCTTCTATTTAAGCTGCTAACATATAAAAGAAATCTTTGCATCTCATTTAAACTTTGTATGTCATCTGCATACTACTGCACACATTTACAAAACATGACAGGAAATCGATTGATTGGTGTTCAAATCACGTGATGACATAGTGAGCTCGATGAATTTGTACGTTCGGTGGTATAAAATGATTCTACACAAACTAGAAGAACTTTTCTCTTCAAAAGTATATTATATTAAACCTGTCATAGTTAATCTCGCTAGAACACTTTTTACACTTAATAACAAAAAGCATTTGAGATGATCATTTGACTTTTAGGCCCATCAAAATGACCAACGTAACGAAAAGTTGAACTATCCGCTGTCAGTTCCACACTTTGCAGTATCAGAACCGACTGTAATATAGACGAACGTGTAAAAACGTAAGAGTTTCTAAAAAAATCGACAATTTAAGAGATTCCTACATTATCGGATTCTCCAGAACTGGGGCTTGCACTGACTGGAATTGAGGCGGGTTCATCTTCCTTTTTTGGCTCCTCTTTCTTTTCGCTGTCGGCTTCAGGGCTATCAGCAGCTTCCTCTTTCTTTTCAGGCTCATCCTGCACCTCTTCGAAAAGCGGGCTATCATCAGTATCAGACATCTTTTGGTGATCTGACCCTCACTACGACAGTTTCTAAGCTCCTTTTCACCAAGGCCAAAAACCTCAACACCCTTTCCAAAAACTAAGCTTGTCGTCTCCCTATGCTCAGAGCTCGGGAGAACCCGTTAAGTCCCGCGGTTCATAAAACTGATGGGACTGACAACAATGGGTAAACCTTCCCAATGTTTACCCAAATGCTGACTTTATCCAAAGAAAAATTCCAGTTTGTTTGTTGTAATTAGCGAACTACAAACTTTAGAAAAAGGGATAAATAAAAAATTTGTTCACTAGTGTCAGCTTGCGTGCAGACTCGGAAATTTAAAAGAGGAGAGAAAGTAGAGTCTGCGCAACAGAGCCGCTTTTCTTATTCGCTGACATCAACGTTTTATTCTAAGCACTAGTGCAATGTTTTTTTTCAATTTTAGTTGTTCAAAAGAACAAACAGACCTATTCTATTATCCTGATACCATTCTTTTATACTTCTGCTCGAAGGCGCCACTTCGAAAACTGAAAAAAAGCAATTGAATTTCCCCCAACCAATCAAATCGGTTCCTTAATTTTGAGGAATCTGTGAACAAGAAAATCGACTCGGCTTCGCAGACTCTACTTTTTCTCCTATTTCAATTTTGTCAACAGAGTCTGTACGCAGGCTAACTAGTGTGCGCCAAACTCATTTTCTACTAATGTTTCATCCATGAATATTCGATTATGTAACCAGAGGTATTTTGTCTTCTAGAGACAGCAAAACATTAGTCTATAAAAGATTTTGTAAAAGCAATCTTGCGTCACTTATTCGTCACTCTTACGTATCTATTGCGTCACTCTGGCGTGCAGGTTTTTTCCTTATAGCTTTTAAAAATTGTGAAAATATCTTCTATCGCTGCCCTAATTTGACGTTATCATTTCAGAAATCATTTCCTACCGTGATGCTTATAATTAGTAACTAAACCAGTTTCAATATGGAAGCTGTTATAAATGATCGATTGGATAAGTTATTAAGTGTCTAAAGGATCAAGAAATAAGTTGATTTTAAAAGACTAAAGAGAAGTTTAATGGGATTTGAGAAGTCGATGGATTTATCATCTGCAAATTCGCAAAATCAAACAAATTGCAAACAACTTAATTAAAAATTGCACCAAGCTAGAAGACAACAACGATATTAATGGCGTAAATAGAAGATTGGCCTCTCTCAGTTTCTCTCTTCCAACCATCTCCAAAAACTTAAAAAAACTTTCTTCCTCTTGACAGTAGAAAAAATGGAACATTTTGTCAGCAGAATTGAAAAGGACGAATAACATTTCTTTAATTAAATGTTTCTGAATAAATAATTGATTATTCTGAATAGATAAATGTTTCATTCCCTTACTCTGCATAACTGAATTAGTTTTACTTTGTCTTACGGTTTTTTGTTCTTGCCCTGTTCTTTTTGTGTTCAGTGCGTATTGCTTGAGAGTCAAAATCAATCTAACATGATAATTTTCAAACACATCATCTGGAGGCTTGCCTTGATGGCATTCTTTGAGACTTTGCGTGTATCCATACAATCTTGTTATTGTTTTAAAACAAAATACTGTAATAATTTGACTTTTAGCATATTGTAATTAACCTATTAATGCTGAAAGCAAGAGTTTTAATTTCAATCTTATTTGAAAATGAAGCTTCACCTTGAACGCCCGCATTCTCTTAAGGCTGAATATGAAAAATTCTGCGAACGGACAAAAATGCTTTTCGCTTCGAGGTGCAAAAATCTTGAATAGCCCTCCATCTGAGGTATCAGGCAACTTCCAATAACTTCTTTAAGTGACAGCTCTAGCCTAGATCTATTAGATTTTCTACACTTTCATATAAATTGTTAACACCGTAATTTACTATATCAAGTAAACCTTTGGGTAGAAATTTAGAACTTAAGTATTCACTATAATAAGATACTTTTCTATTAT